CCTCACACACTCCCTCTTTCTCTCTATCTCTCTCTCTCTTCCCTCCTCTGGATTCAATGGGGTTTAGGAAATCCCCACTCCTCACACACTCCCTCTTTCACTCTCTCTCTCTCTCTCTTCCCTCCTCTGGATTCAATGGGGTTTAGGAAATCCCCGCTCCTCACACACTCCCTCTTTCTCTCTCTCTCTCTCTCTTCCCTCCTCTGGATTCAATGGGGTTTAGAAAATCCCCCCTCCTCACACACTCCCTCTTTCTCTCTCTCTCTCTCCCCTCCTCTGGATTCAACGGGGTTTAGGAAATCCCCCTCCTCTCACACTCCCTCTTTCTCTCTCTCTCTCTCTCTTCCCTCCGCTGGATTCAATGGGGTTTAGGAAATCCCCCCTCCTCACACACTCATTCAGCCTCTTTCTCCCCTCTTTCTGGATTCACTCCGAAGTTTTTTAAATTACCTCTTCTGTAGAGACCAGGTTATCAGCCACGTGAGACACATGCTGTGTTTCTATGGCACAGTAAACCCCCCTCAAACAACAACACGCAATGCCAATTTAGAAGCGGAGAAGCAGCAGTCCGGGGTGGGGGAGGGGCTGAGTTTGGACAGCCTCGGAGGCAGCTACTAGCTCCGAGAGAGAGAGGAAGAGAGAGGGGGAGGGAGGGGCTGCTCAAAGCAACAGAAAAAGAAAAAATCCATGAGGGAAGTCTGCGGTCTCCACATAGAGTAAGTCTTCTCCTCGCTCAGCCATTGGCAACAGCTCCCAGGGACGCGCGGGCGGGAATGCGCTTGTCTCGAAGAAGAATATACGCTCCCAGTTGCTAGGAGAGCCTCGGTGGCTGGAGGCTTTTTTGTAACTTTAAAAAAATCGGGACTTTTTTAAAAAAAAACGGGACACGGGAAAAATTGTGAAAAAGCGTGACTCTCCTGCCAAAAGCGGGACGTCTGGTCACCTTAAATTAGGGGGCACTTATTTAAGGAGTAATTTCAGAATGTTAAGAAACAAACATGGATATTTGATCCAGGATCTACTATTTTCAACTTTTGGGATAATTTGGAATAGATAAGGTGCTGTGGTAAACTTTCTACTGGTGGATTACAATAACAGTTTATGAAAGTTTAATTTTGTCTTATTTTAGTATTATTTATTCTTCCTGTTAATGATTTTGTTACTAATATAATATGTAGAAAACAGGTCAATAACTTGCAAATAGATTTATTAGTTTTAAAAATTGTGGGTGGGGTGTTTCACGGGGGTGGGAACCAATGTCATAGTAATGTATTAATCAGTATTCAGTTAGGGGGAATAATATGTGTATTATGTATTGGGGGATTTTTGATGCACCTTTTTTTCTTTTCAATGACTTGGTTATTTTGTTTGTTTGTTTTTTTGCCCTTTTTGTGGATTTTTTGGAGTTTTGTATTTTAACCTGAATAAAATTAAGAAAAAAATAAGACCAGAAAAGTACAATTTGTATCATGACTCATATTACTAGCAGAATATGGGTTAGCATAGTTTGCTGATGACTCACCAATAGGTATATAGCATCTTTACTCAATAGCAGAGAAAGTCCCCTAGTAGGTATTAAATTCTAAAATTTTCAAATGGAAGCAAAATTGTTATTCAGGTTTTTTTAATTTGGATTGGTGTGCATATTCAGAGATGACCTACTTACAAGCATATAATAAAAAACTTTGCCCCTTGGCATGGTTCATTAGAAAAACAACATTTCTTATATATACAGCTGTATATATTTTGAAATATTTCCTAACTATTGTTTTAATTTTTTTCTTAAAAAGTAGATCTTTTAATTCCACAATATTTTTTCAGTCAGAAATGTCAATAATTATCAATGAAAGATTCATTGCCAATGGAGCCAAATTAATTTTCCATCAAGTAAAGCTTATTTTATTCAAGATTATTTAAACAATTCTCTTTTGCATGGTTGACTACTTTTTTTCTTCAAAGTGCATTTCTTTGGAGGTGCTTTTTGTTTGTTTAATTTTTTTCTTGCCACATTACTTTTCATATTTTAAAGTCATGTTCATACCTTTATAGCCTCTTTCCTCTGTAGCAATCTATCACTTGTTTTATTTTGAAATTCTGATTCTTATTTACTACTTAGTTCAATGGTGGGTTGCAGGCGGTATGCCCCGGTACAGGCGTACTGGAGCCTGCCCAGAGCACGGGGTACCGTTCTGGTATGGTGCTCTAGAGGGCCCATCGGCCTGAGCTCCTTACCGTGTTTTAAAGCTTTCGGCATTCACGTGCACGGGCATGTTGCATACAGCACCTGCCTGATGCTCCACCAATCAGCTGAAGTGTCACTGAGTCTTGTGGAGGCATCGTTTGCAGCTACAACGCGTGTACACATGCACTGCACACATCCATGTGGGCGACGCTGGGATGGTTGGAACGGGATCTGGAAACACCACTGACCTAGTTACTATACGATTTGTGGTTGGTCTTCAATTTCATACTCCATCTAATTTATTAATTTTTGGCAACAGTCCACTATTCATTGCTCATGTGATCCATTTGATACTCTATTTGTTTTGATATTCTTCCTCCTTTAGCAAGGCAATTTATTTTGATAATTTCAAATGTTTGAGGTGAAAAATGGGATGGCAGGTTGGGGAATAATAGTTTCATTGATTTCTGGTATGCTATATAAATTGTGGCTTACACTTCATGGTAATATTTCTCTTAAATGATGGTAGAGCTGCTTTCAATTTCAAAATTGGGCACACAATCATATTCAGTTTCTTTTTTTTAATATTTTTTATTTTTAATTCAAAACAAACACAACATCCTTCTTTACATGCTGTAGAAAGTGTATCAGTTGGTTACNCCTGAATTCTGGGGGCAGCTCTGTTAAGCTGCCGACTGGCGACAGGCCACTCCCCGGAAGTGGATGAAGCAAATCTTCACGCTCCTAGATTCCTTTAAAAACATAAACTTTTCAAATCCAAAACCAAATTTAGACTTTGTGTTTAAGTGGGTTGTGTTTAAGTGGATTTGTCACTTCTCTTCTTTCTCCTTTCTGCCCAAATTATTTCAAGCAAATGGTTCTCTTTGGGACTAGTGATTCAACCTCCATTTCCCACCTTTTTTCTTTTCACAAAAATCCCGACCTGTCCATCAATATTATTTATGCTCTCAAGGTTTTTTATAAATTCTGATTTATAACTGTGAGTTAATAGATCTTACCAGGCTTTCATCTCACCTCAGCTGCTTTCGCCTGGAGCCAGCTCTTGTTGCCATGCTGCCGCCCCGGCTCTGATTCAGAGGGCAAATCTCTGACCTACAAGGGACCTGTTGCACTCCCCCTGGATCTGATGAGATGCTGCCCCTTATCCCCCCCCCCCCCTACCGTTCTGATCCAAAAATGGATCTCGGAGACAGTTTGTCAGACAGGGTTCATGTGAGACTCTTCAGAGCTCACATCCCCCACATTTGTCCAGCTGCAGAACTTCAGGTCAACTCTCCTCCTTCTAAATTTGATCACAGTGGATTTTATAGGATCAGCACTTATGTCAAGGTTCCATTTATCTTCTTTGTGACAGTTGATCTTCAGGACAACTCATTTCTGCAGAGTCAGGGAATTGCCAATTCAGACTTCATGGCTTACCTAGATTCAGATGAGAAATTTCTTAAATGATAATGAAATATAGGAATTTTAGGCATCCTAATTTGGAATATTGGAAGTGATTTTTCCAACCATTTCAATAGCATTCTCAAAAAATTTCTTGCAATGCAGTTCACTAAACTTTCTATCAACTTTCTCTTTTTTCTGGTTTCACATACCAAGGCAAAAATGAAGTCAGTTGAAAATCAAAACACTAGGACAAGTATAATGGAATGTTGGAGAATGTGAAGCCATTATCAAAAGAATCTCAGTCCAGGGAAAATAGAAAATGTGAAAAATATTTTCAAAACAATTCCATCTTAATTGGTTAAGTATAAATTGAAAGAGCAGACAAAATTGTCACAATACCAAACTAGATTTCAATACTTTCCAATACTGCTAACATGTTTTGTTTCATGATAATGTCTACTTCAATCTTGAAAATGATTGTAAACCCCCTCCACTTCAACTTATTAAGGGAGAATTTTTTTGAGTTTCTCTCTCATGCTTTTTATATTCCTAGACCTGAGATACCTTCATTACAATAATTCCACATTCTCCTAACATTCCATTACAACAAGAAAATTAGTATGCACAAGAAAGGACCAAATTCCAGGACAGAAATCCCTAGAATTGCTTTTAAGTTATTTAGTATTTCTCTGCTTTATGGTACTGAACTGGAAGGTGGTATTCTTCCTGATTTGGCAATTGTACTTCATATTCAGGCTTTGATTCCAGGATGTGATGTAGATCTGCAGAAAATGTGTCTACAAAGATCTTAGGAACTAGGATCTGGTTCTCAGGAATGACATCCTTCGACTGTTTATTTGTAATCAGTTCTAAGTAAGAGATGACCCACCCATTTCACTTGGTCATGTTTTATGATGAAACAGAAAGAAAGCTAATAAAACATTCCTATATTACTGACAATTTTACGTTGTGAGAGAAAACTTGAAAAGTAATAAATTATTTATAAAGAGAGTAAACTCTGATACTGTTAAACATTAATTTATATTTAGAGTAATCAAAAGCTATAGCGTAGAATAGTTTTGGATTATTTCAGAATAATAGGGATTTTATTATTTGTTTTTATTTTTGGTCAACAACCTTTTGAACATTTGTTGATTAGTATTAACTGTAATGACTATTTTATGACGGTAGATAATGCTGAGAAGCATACATGTGTGCAACATTAATCTTTTTCAGATCTAGGGACTTTTTATGGAAGATAGCAATACCACCCCTTCTATTGTTTTCATAGTCAGACCAGAAAACATGATAATCAACTTACTGTAATAAGGGAGTCTGGAAAGGATACATTCAACTACATCTCGCAGACAAAAATAAGGTTGAATAGGGCCACATATAGAAGCAGGAGGAATTTGTTTGCGAGGCTGCTTGCATTTAGTAGGTTGCATTTTAGGCCTGTAGGGGTGGACCTTAAAGACGTTGGGGGCATGCATGCATAGTTTAAGCTTGTTTGGGGGGGGATTGTTGGGACGCTGGCCACTAGTCTTGCATTTAATACAGTCAGTATGGTAGTCTATGTACAGCCTGTCTCTCCTTGGTCCTGGCATCTTTTGAGCTCTGAGCAAAGCTCGCGGGCACAGGCACGTTGTAGTATGGACAGGTTGGGCTGTGAATTAGTTTTCTTGTGGTTTTTGCAGCTTTGGGTGAGTGAGTTTATTGTGGAGATGAATTTGCATTTGCTAGTTTCACTGTTGCAAATGTCTCTGCAAATGCATGTGGCCACCAAGCCATAGCTATTCTTGAACACAGGGCCATTGCGGAAACATCAATCATCAGGAGTGATGATTGATGCCTGAAGTTATTGATGATATCATGAATCTTTGTGATGTTGTCGGATTCATTGGTGTCTCCAGTCCAAATAAGATTGTGTTGGGATGCTTCAGTTTGTGTTCAATCACGTCTTTGACAAGGATGGAGATGTTACTCGCAGAATTAGTAGTTCCCTGCTGATGGGGTAGTTGGTTGGGATAGGATTTTGGGATATTGGTGCTTTGCTTTTCTGTGTTTTTTCTTTTTCTTCAAGGAATTCTCATCGTGCTTCTATGGTGAGTACCCGTTGAAGTGGAACACTAAATTTGTCCAATCTGGGTTTGTGTGATGGGTAGAATAGTGGAAACACAAATTGGGAGGTTTTAAGTGAAGCTGATTGCAGGAACTGGGCTAGGTCTTTGGTTAACCTTAAGCACTTGTGGAGAGCATACGTGTCACCTAGGTACTTCATGGTACTGTCATCCTCCTCGAATGCTTCAGTACAGGAGTTGTGTAGCTTATCAGTAGCAATCTTCTTCTTTTTGGGTGGGGGTTTAGCAGTAGAGTGTTTGCCTGGCATGGTAGGTTTGCTGTGGAGACACTGGTGTGATTGATGAGGATTTTTCCCCTCCCCTTGGTGCACTCACCACAGCATTTCTTGCAGGTTTAACTTTTTTTGTTGATATCACTGGACAGCTAGATTGTTGATTTCCCTTCCTGCTGGTTTGTCCTGCATGCTCATGTGTGTGTGCAGCCGGTGGGAACTTTGCCCCTCTGTTAGCTCGCCTTGCTGGTCTTCGGGAGATTGACCTTCCTTCGTAGTAGCTAGCCCAGCTTGCTCCCTGTTCTCCCCAGCTTTGCTGCTTGGGCTTCTTAGGTCTCACTACTTTCCTCACAGGCCTCTTGGATTGTAAAAACAAAGCTTGTTATTGTTAAAATTTAGCTAAAAACAAATTGGTAGCCTCACAATATGTGCTCTTGTAAAAAGTCAGTTATGGATTAAAAATGGGTCAAAAGTGAATTGAAAATGTAAAAGAAAAAGGAAAAAAACTGTTTATTTTTGGAAGAGCTCTTTACAGCCATTGCTACCTGTCCACCATTTTGGTGTTTGTGTTTATTGTTATAAACTTTATTGTTATGAAATTTAGGATATTATTATTTGAGTGTATCCAAAGTACAAGTATAAATATTTCATCGAAATGATAATGTACTGAATTTGTCTTTTTCTTTGTTTTGAAGCATGGGATGCTGATTATAGGAGCACAAAAGAAATACTATTATGTGTGGGAAATCTACAGTTACATTCAATCCAAGACTGATTGGAACAAAATTCAAGCCTTACCTAAGGACCTAGTAATTCTTAAGATAGCATCTAAGAATTTAGGCAATTCCAAGCAATGTAGTCATTTGTATAATTAGGGTGTTCAGGATGGTAAATTCAGTATCTCCAAATATCTAGAAAGTCTTTTGAGGTGGTTAGGTAGTGTCATTAATACAATTGGCATGAATTTAGGCAAACTCAGAAAGACAGGAACCTGGCATCTTATGGTTCATGAGGTTGCGAAGAGTCGGACGCAGCAGCTGAATAACAACAAAAGGAATTTCCTTAGTATCACTTCAAGATTTCCAGTCATGATTGATATAGCAATGGATTTCTTCTTCCATATTTACCAATATTTAATAATTATTTCCAGTTTTTTTATTCAATCCTATTATCAATATGTATAGCAACATCCATAAAACAGACTTCTTTTCAACAATAGTTGTACCAGGTATGTCATAAACAAGATGCTAGTCTCTTTGTATTTTAAAGTTATTTAAAATCTTAACTCACTTGTTTTCTAAAACCTTATCAGTTTGATGCTCCAGCTTTGACTACATTCAAAACCTATCTTATGGTAAATTATATACTTTATTCATTAAACATCAGCCAATTGAACATTCAAAAATGCATTACAAATACCAGTGACTGGTGCTAATGGTTGATATAGTTTGCTGCCAGCGTCCTATGTATCAACCAAGTACTTCTTAAAATATAAGATGTACCAAGTAGCGCAGTTTTTTGCAGTTCCGCTGGTGTTATTGCAGGAAGNAAGTACTTACACAAGCTCAGGTTAAAATACTCTCCTCTATTATCAAATGATGATAAAATGGCTTATTAATCTTTCATTTGTCCTGAAATAGTATGATTTTTTTTAACCCAAGAACAGTAATCTTCTTATTTCTTTCTTCAATACAGGCTGGCATGGCCTTGACATATGATCCCACAGCTACTATACAGAATGGGTGAGTAACATACACTTTACTGTTTTTAACAACACTGATATTTCCTAAAACAGTTTTAAATTGTGAGCACAATTTCAAAGCAAAACAACCACACTGGTATTATTTGAGACAACTTAAATATGTATTAAGAAGGAAAAATCATTTCCCCATTTATTTCTAGACTATTATTTATGAATTGGGAATGATTGCATTTAATTTAAAAAAGATTTACTTCAATGTTTATATTATCTAAAGCTAACTTATTGACACTGGTCAAGTTGTTAACGGAGCCAGGCTATGAGTAGGAGGTAGGCATGTTTCAAAGAATCTTGAATACCCAGGCAAGCATTACTATTCATTTATCTATTCACGTGTGGATGGCATTTGTATCTTACAGTGGAATACTCATTTTATTTCTACAAGAAGCTCTCTTATAGGTAAACAGAACTGAGAAGAGATTGAATGGGCCAATGTAACTTGTGAAATCCATAGTTGGGTTTTAAATATGAATCTCCCCGTTCCAAGATCAATAACTCAAATATTAGACTAGCTTTTCTCTACAGGGAATAGTTATTAGACCCGGAAGAGCAACTGGTGATGGCTCCGCATGCCAGGAGAAATGGCTCTGCATGCCACTTCTGGCACGCGTGCCATAGGTTCGCCATCGTGGTTCTAATGCATCTTTTTAAATCTCCTTTTAGCATACATACTTTAAAGTACTTTCAAACCAATAAAAATCACTTTCAGACCAATACAATTTACTTCCAGACTAATAAAATTCCAACCAATTAACTCATTAAATTTAAATTACTCCTTCCAAGTTGCCCTCATAGACTAATTTTTTTCTTTTTCTATACATTCTTTTTAAAGCTCTAGATTTTTCTTCAAGCTAATGCATCTTTTTCTTTAACTTTCTTTCAACATGGATATTTTTAAATACACTTTCAATAATATTTTACAAACTTTATGAATTACTTAAGTGTTATATATAAAGAAAAAATACATTTTCAAATTTTAGATTAAGACTGTCTTTTAATTATAAGCATCAAACCAATGAAAATTCACCCTAATTCCAATTGGCTCATTAAGTCTCATTAAGTTCTTCCAGCTTTTCTTCATGAAATAAAATCTTTTTCTTCTCTTGAATGTTTGTCAAGTAGTTATAAATTTCTATTTTTCTCAAGGATTTTTCAACCTTGTTAATTACCATGATGAAATAGTCACCTGTCAGAGTTTGCAGCAGCAATAACTTCCAGAAAGCACACACAAGTAACTGATTCAGCAGGATTCATTAGCTTCTAAAAAAAATTACAGCAAGGTTCAATAAATAAGCTTTAACTTAAAATAAATATAACAAAAAGGGGGGGGGGATGCAAAATTCTAAAATGGCCTGTCAGTATAAGTAAAATTAGGACTGCATGTTGCCCAAATACAAAAGGGTTTCTCTATCAGCAGGGATTGAGAGGCTGAAGACCTCTTGTCTTTGTGGCCATGCAATTCTAAAATCGATAGGCTCCTCCTGGGTAGGGGAATCAACTTAAGGCAAAACAAGCATTGTCTACCATGGTTTATTGATTGCCAAGTTTTCCTTGTGTTTTCCCATACCTTTCTGGGCTATTAAAATCACATGGGCAAGGTCTGTACCAAACACCTGACTGCAAACTAAACAACCAGATTTTAGCCTAGCCTGTTGTACAATCTCAGGGCACATTCCAGAATAAGAGGATGTAATAACAGGAGAGAACTGCAAAATTGCTGTTATTTAGCAGCAATAACTATGTTCTTTGACATATTTGCTAGCAGCCTGCAGGCTGTAAACTTCTCTTTCCCCCTTGGGGAAAGAATTCAGAAGTGCTAGATTTATTTTACCTGCTAATTACAGTGTACTTTGTGTGTTTTTAAAGAAACTGTGAGAAAAAGATGTGAAAATTAAAGAATGTACGGATTGAGTTGTGAGACAGGAAAGGGAATTACATGGACTTGTGCACTTCCAGTTGCTGACAGATGCATCACTAATGTTCTGACCTAACACCTGCATGCTCTCAGGTCCCAAAGTTTATCTTCATTCTTCATAGGCCACTATTGTGGATTAATAAAGTTCTTCTGGATTCTGATTTTATGGTGAGTATCCTGAGCTACAGAGGCCATTGTTCTTCTTCTTAAATACATAACAATAAAATAATTAGAACTAAAGTTGTTTCAAAGGGAAGACAAATTAGAAAAAAATGAGATCTTTTGGGGTCTTCAATTCCCTTCCTGTTAAGAGTTCCTTAATAAGGTTTGCTCTTCCTTCCTAACATCAATAATCAATTTTCTGATTTTTCTAGAAAATATGTGAAGAGTTGTAATTAGTGATTTAACTATGTTTTCTTTTTGACTGTGTTTAAATTTATATAATGTATGTTTAATTAAGGGGGCTTGGAGAGGTAGAAATGGCCAATATGGTGACTGTACCTTGCCCTCCAGAAGTGTCTCTCCTGCCGATTTCTAGAGAGGAGGAGGGTGTGGCAGGAGAGCTGCGTGAGGGAAGACGCAGTGAAACTGCTCCCTGTAAACATCCTCTTCCATGCTTCCATATGCAGCAGCGTTGTCCTCCATCCCCAAACTTGGAATGTGGTGTTTATGCGTGTGCACATGGGCACACACTTCGTTGCAAGCAGTTTGGAGAAAAGAGGTACTTGTGGGGCACTGAATTGTCCCCATGTCGAGATAGCCAGTGTTAGTTGTTCCATACCGACCCAGCCATTCCAAATCAATCACACCCAGTAAGCAGCATTGAGATTGCCACACCCACTCAGTCATGCCCACCTACTCATGGAGACCCTGCTACTGATTTTTGAGGGCATAATACTGATGCAGTCATCAATGAAATTGAGTTTGACACCCCTGGTTTAGATAAACTACTGTTTGTACAAAGCAATTGTGGCTGTACTTAGTTATGACTTTAAACAGACACATATTTATCTCATGGAGATGATATCTGGAATTCCTTTCCATTAATTAGGACTCCTGGGAATCTTTTTTCTGGGTGAGATTAACTGTTCCAAGAATGCTAGATGGGTTTCTTTGGAAAGATCCTTCTCAGCTGTTCCTACCTGATGATGGAATTAGCTGAAATGACAAAATTGACTTTTTTGATCAGAGACAAAGCAACAAATACTTGATTATTATTATTTTTTGCTGACAATGAAAACAATATCATTTGTGGTTAGGAATATAATCTAACGGTTGGGTTGGCAATATATAAATCATGTAACAATGCTATAACTGTTTCTTTAAACCATACTGTAAAATGTGATTGGTTGCTGTTTTCCTCAATTGGCCATAAGAGGGAGCCTGAACAACTGTTAGTTATCTCTCTGTTTGTTAGATGCTGGGCTGATCTTATCTGAGTGCCGTGAGCTATTGTAAGTTTTGCAACTGCCAGCAAACTTTGTGTACCGGACTGATTGTATGATTATGGACTATGTTAGTTGGATTATCCCTTAACTGAAAGACATTGATGACTGACTGTCTTATCCGGGTATGACTTGGACTGTTTGATGGACTCTGATACCTCTATTTCCATGAAAGTAAAAGCCTATTTAAACTGCAGTGTCTCTGTATGCTGGTTTGTGTGTTCTGCAACACAACTCTCACAATGCTTTGCTGAACGTACTCACTCTCCCAACAGGGAGTTACCTAACACTTGTGACTTAGGAATTTGTTGATTAAAAAGTTTTGAACAATGGGGAAGAAGAAAAATATGTAATTTTAAAGAATAAATTGGGAACATTTGTTTGCCAACTTTCTATATAGGAAACTTGCTGATAACCCATCGTTGCCCAGGTATTTATAGACATTGAAACATTTGTTTGACAGGGAGCCATTGAGAGAGGCCTTTTATTTATTTTATGTTTATATTTTATATCTGAGAAAAACCTTTACAATTATTAAAAAGAAATGGAATGAATATTAAGCACTGTGGACAATACAGTCTAAATCACCAAATAAAATATAGGCTATAATAAATCCATCCATAATAATAAAAATCCTGATAATCTGCAAAATTAAAATATAAATGTGATACATAAAGAAATTAAAATTTTGGATGTACTATCCATTCTTATATTAGATTGTAGTCCACAATTGGTTTTCTGATTAAATTGAATTCTATGCTAGTATTGCTGTTAATAACACATATTCGTACAACTTAATTAGCAATCTTTCACTGACAGTATCAATCTTTCTAGTAAAAAGCATATAATATTCCTGCAGCAGTTAGCATGAAGGCAGTTAATATCAGTTAATATCAATGTACTTTATAGGAATGTGGTCTATATGGTCTGATAAAGCTTTATAAAACTAAAGTGAGCTGAAATCAGATTTAAGTTTTAAAATTATTTTAATTCTAGTAAACTTAATTCTCCAGAAATATTGAACTTTATAGCATTGCCACCAAATTGGGTGTGTGTCCAGCCTGATTATCTAGAGTGTTTGAAAAAATGTATTGTTAATTTTAGCAATCGAAACTGTGGCAATGTACAGTTTCATATTGTTACAAATCTATAATTGCTTTCAAATCCTGCATAGTTTCAATTTTTGTCTTGCTTGGATTCTGAATCATACTTTAATAATTTTTAGATGAGACTTAGAAAATGTACTGAATGTTGCACTTGAACATGTTCAAATTCAATTAGTAATTTTCAGTATCTTCTTTTATTGCTGCAATTCTATACTATAGTTTACTTTAGTTTACTATACAAATTTTTGAAAATGCTAACAGCAAAATGGTTTCCTGAATGAGCTCTGATGTCTGAGTTCACAGGCCATCTTAAATCCCCAAAGTAACTGCAGAACTGAATACTTTATGGTCCAGTAAGCACTTCTAATAAAATGGAATCATTCTGATAGCAGAAGAGACTATCAGATATCCTGGCCTTAGGATGAGAGATAAATATGGGGCTGGCGCTCCACTGGAGGGGAAGATATGATAAACCTCCAAGTAATTCAATCTTGAAGTATACCATGTTGTCTAACAT